TAAAAAAAAAGTAGAAGAAGATAGCAGCAGGGGAACAATGAAGGGGGGGAATCGGAGGGGGAGACGAACCATGAGAGACGATGGACTCTGAAAAACAAACTGAGGGTTCTAGAGGGAGGGGGGTGGGAGGATGGGTTAGCCAGTGATGGGTTTTAAAGAAGGCACGTTCTGCATGGAGCACTGGGTGTTATATGCAAACAATGAATCATGGAACACTACATCAAAACTAATGATGTAATGTATGGTGATTAACATAACATAATAATAAAAAATAAAAAAATATAAATCTTAAAAAAATAAATGTAAATATGTAATATGCTTTGTATATTAATATTGAATTTAAATATTTTATTCAAATTATATTAATAAAAATAATTTATACTACATCAACTATTACCATGAAGGTACATTCTATGTATTATATTAGCATAGTCTACCAGATCACAATCATAAACAATATAATTATGAAATGGTCATAATAAAAGCCTCCTTAATATGTAAACTTCAAGCATCAGTAACCATCTATACATGTTCATTATAAAATAGGGAAAACCTACTTGGTTCCATTAATTTGATAGTATAAAAAAGTTTTGGACTTTTAAGGAATAAAAACAAAATGAAAAAATAAATACTTTATTTATTCATATATATATATATAATAAAGTAAACTATAATAATAATAATAATAATAATGATGCAGTAAGTTTTATTTACAAATTGCATAGTTAAAATAATGCCTAAGAAAAACTGGAAAATGTTTTTGTTACACTAACACTCTGATACAGGTAACTTATTTTTAAAAACTATGCCTGAACATATAAACTATATAATTCAAGACTCTTCATAAACACTGACAGGCAGACCAGAAACTGGATTACTTATTTGAAGAAATAGGTCCTCAGCAAAGTTCTAGTGCAAGACTCCTCATGATAATTTTTATAAAGCTGTATTTCCTATCCTGAAAACTAATCTTGGTTTGTGCTAACTAGGGTGTTTTGGAATTTGGCCAGCTAAATAGATGGCTCAAAATGCACAATTGATAGAAACTTCCTAAAATTTTACCTTTGTGATTAAGTGCCAGACAGGACAGAGTTTGATCTTTAAAGCTCTTTTAATCAATTTAGGACCATTCACAGAAGGGATGATTAAAATTCAGGTGTCACAAGATTTCATGGTTGAACCATATTATGTGTGAAGTTTTCTTTTGTATTTTCTTTTCCCACATATATTTTGAGTTACATTAAAATTTCTTTTTTCTTAAGAATCTACAGGTCTGCAGTGTGCTTCTTGCTTTGAAATAGTAATCATAATTCTAATAGGAGATTTATTGGGTGGGTTTGAGCTACAATACTTTACAGAGGGTCAAATTGCCAGTCTCTCAGTGTGCTCATTTTTTCCTGCCTTTCCTTAGTCCCCTGACTGGCCTGGACATATAAGTCTTGGCATTTCTGATGCGTCTTTAGACCTCGGGAAGATACTAGCAGAGAAGTGGGGTTGAAGACGATACTTATTCCATACTGACCTGATCCTGAAATTCTTAAACTATAAATGTAGATCTTGAAGTCAGAGTATATTCTAAGTGTAGAGCCCATGCAAAAATCCCTTGCAAATTATCTTCCCATCTCTCTATTGATGGCATGAGATGCTTTGATATAAGCTTTTACCCTAAGTAGCAAGGAAATGCTAAAGAAAGAAAAAAGTGGTTGAAAATTAAGATTGCAATTAGTATCTTTAAATGGCTGAAATGTAACACAGACTATATCATTATTCTTTAAGAAATGGATATAATTCCATGGTTAATTAAAGTGTTCAGAGGAAAGTGTAGACATGAGTTGAAATTCACTATTACCATATCAAAATAGAGGAATTATGGATGTATTTTTCAAATATGATATATGTTTTATAGATTTTTAGGGAAGAAATGCAATTTCACAATAAATTTCATTTGAGATAGTCAAGAAATGGGCTTGATAATGAGGTTCCAAAAGTAAATTGGTACATCTAGTTAGTTCCATAGATAAAATGGTTTACTGAATTCAATGATAATTACTATCATTTGTAGTTTCTTCAATCACTAGTAGCCATGCCATATATGTTAAGGGAAAAGGCCTTTCTGAATTCTCATTTGCAAAAAGAGAAGCTAAAAGACTTCATTATAGGTATGTGACTCTGCCATTTCCAGATGTCCAACTCAGTGTTTGTCAACTTTTTAGGATATGTGATAAAGATGACAAAGATCTATTTTGAAGTCTTATATTACAAAATATTATAATGTGAAGAAATTGAAATAAATATTTGGGATAGTATTTCTATCTTTTAAAGACTAAGTCAAGTAAGTAAAGTATCTTCTTATCTCATCACTCTGATTAAGTATTTCCCTCATTAACTCAATATGAATAGAGGAACAAATATTGATACTGAAAAGCAACCTTCAGTGAAAACATATGCAAATATGTTGTTTATCATTAAGTGAGATAACTATTCTCTGTTTTTCATGGAAACAAATATTGTTTTTAAAAAGACATGAAAGCACTCTCCTCACTTCTATTCAAGTACTACTGTAGGTTTTAGCTAGGGCATTTAGGCAAGAAAAAGAAATAAAAGGCACTCGCTTGGGAAGGATGCCTCTACGTGCAGATGACATGATCTTGTATATGGAATATCCTAAGGAATCCTCTAAGGAACTATTAGAACTAATAAATAATTTCAGCAAGGTTTCAGGATAAAAGATCAATATTCAAAAATCATTTGTATTTCTATATATTAGCAATAAACAATCTGAAGATAAATTTAAGAAAAGAATTTCATCTAAATTAGCATTAAAAGGGGCACCTGGGTGGCTCAGTTGGTTAAGCATCTGACTCTTGATTTCAGTTCAGGTCATGATCTCAGTGCCAGAGATCGAGCCCCACATTGGGCTCTGCTCTGAGTGTGAAGCCTGCCTAAGATTTTCTCTCTCCCTCTCCATCTGCCTCCCCAACTTTAAAAAAAAATAGCATTAAAAAAGAAAAAATAATTAGGAATACACTTAACAAAGGAAGTGTAAAACTTGCATTCTGTAGAATACAAAACATTTTTGAAAATAATTAAAGAAGATCTAAATAAATAGAAAGACATCCCATGGTCACAGATCAAAGACTTAATATCTTTAAGATGGTAATACTCCCCAAATTGATCTGCAGATTCAATATAATCCCTATCAAACTCCCAGCTGGCTTTTTTAGTAGAAAATGACAAGCTGATCCTAAGGTACAAGTGAAAATACAGAGGACCTGGAAGAGCTAAACAATTTTGAAAAAGAAAACATAGCTGAAAGACTTACATTTTCAGATTGCAAAACTTATGAAAAAGTTCAGTAATCAAAACAGTGTACCAACATAAAGACAGACATATAGATCAATGGAGTACAATTAAGAATCAAGAAATAAACCCATATGTTTATGGTCAACTGACTTTCAATAAAAGTGCCAAGACAATTCAATGGGGGAATGAATAACCTTTTCAACAGATGGTGTGGGGCAATTTGATATCCATAGACAAAGACTGGACCCTCTCCTTCTTACACAATACACAAAAGTTCATCAAAATGGATCACAGACCTAAAGGTAACAGCTAAAATTATACAGTTCTTGGAAGAAAACATAGGAGTGAATCTTTGTGATCTTGGGTTAGCAAAGCATGAATGACAAAATAATAAATAGATTAATTAGACTTCATCAAAGTAAACACTTTTATGTTTCAAAGGACACCATCAAGAAAGTGGAAAAACAGAATGGGGGAAATATTTGCAAATCATATATCTGATAAGTGACTTGAAAGCAGAATATATGAAGACCTCTCAGAACTCAATAATAAAAAAAGACATCCCAATTAAAAAATAGGTAAAGGATCTGAATAGACATTTCTCCAAAGATATACACATGGTCAGTAAGCACATGGAAAGATGCTCAACATCATTAGCCATTAAGGAAATGCAAATCAAAATCACAATAAGATACTATTTCACACCCACTAGGATGGTTATAATAAAAAAAGGCAGTAACAATGTGAAGAAAGACGTACATTGCTTATGGTAGGAATGAAAAATGGTGCAGTCACTTTGGAAAACAGTTTTTCAGTTTCCCAACATGTTACACATAGTTATCATATAACCCAGGAATTCCACCCTAAGAGAATGGAAAACATGCCCACACCAAAACCTGTACACAGATATTCATGGTATTATTCATAGTAACCAAAAAGTAGAAACAACACAAAAGCTCATCGCCTGATAGATGAATAAATAAAATATGATACATCCACAAAATGGAATTTATTTGGAAATAAAAAGGAACTACTGATACATGGATGAACCTTGAAAACATTATGCTAAGTGAAAAAAACCAGTTATAAAAGTCCACAGATTGTATGATTTCATTTATATGAAATGCCCAGATTAGACAGATCCATAAAGAAAGAAAGTAGATTGCCTGAGGTTGGGGGAGGGACTGGAGGAGAAAAAAGAGAAGTAACTGGTAATGTGTACAGAGTTTCTTTAGGGGATGTGAAAATGTTCTAAGATTGATTGAGGTGATGGCTGCACAATTCACTATTTGGTGAATATACAAAAACCCATTGAATCGTACAGTTTAAATAAGTGAATTTTATGGTATGTAGATTATATCTCAATGAGGATATTATTAAAAAGAGACAGAGAAATGAAAAAAGAGTTTCTATACAAAGTTCTAAGCGAATCTGCTTGAAAAACTTGTTTTGGTGTACAGGCCAGAAAAGCCTACTACTATCAGATAAATTATCAAGTATAAATTTTTAATTTTGTCTTAACATTTGAGTTTGACTCATGCAATAATTGGCTTTTGATTCCAATATCTCAAAATTTTGAACTCAACCTTCTTCATCTACATCACCCTAAAATACCATTAGAGGTACTTATATATTTAACTTTGAGCATAATATTTTTCATATCCAATTGCCACATGTGTGTTTTATAATCTGCTTACCTCTTCTCCTCTTCTCAGGAAAGGATATCCAACTTTACATGTGAGATTATGATTGGATTCACAACTGTCTTTTTGTATAGCCTTGGAAGAAAAAGTAAACAATTAGAGCAGACACATAGGTGAAATACTTGAGCTTGGTTTTCCAGAATTTTCCCAGTTGTGCCTTGGACTCTGCCTTGCTAAGATTTGTCTCTCAATTTAGTTGGGAGAGTCACAGCATTCTGAGATCACCTGTCTCACCATCCATGGAAAATCTGAAAACATTATATATGGGAGACTGAAGGACAGAGCACATCACATATCTTGTCTAGGTGTCCCCACTGCACAATGGACGTACTAACAGCATGTGCTGCATAGGGTGAGTAGGTGGCTGGACGAAATAATCCACACATACTAGACTGCCACATGGAAGCCCACAGTGAGTGGTTGTCATGAGAAGAGCTTCACTCAGTGCTAAGAGCACCAGTTCTGACCTGAGACCACCAGGAGTTAAATTCTGACTCCATCATTATTAGCTTTCTCCTAGTCAAGATTCCTTACTTCTCTGAGCCTGATTTTCTGTCAAGTGAGGTTAGTCATACTCTATTTCATCAAATTGAAAATGCCACTGAATAGGAGACTCATCATTATTTTGCATACCAATAAGAGGGGGAAAATGCTGCCAGTTAAGTAAACATATCAACTATAAAATGCAGTTACAGCAAAGTTAAAATGTGACAGAAAGGGTTTATCTTAGAATCTCTGTAGTACAATAATACCTATTTACTTAATGAGAATTGAATAAGTGGAATGCTTAGAACAGTGCCTGGAACATAATGTGACTGAGGAAAAGACTGTCATTATTATTACTGTTTTTACCATTAATAGAAGTAGAGGAGATGCATTATTGATTTTTATAGTTCTCCCTCTCTACCAAGGCTATGAAGTTAGTTGAAGAGGATACTGGCAATGATTTTTAATATAGTCCCCTTTCCAGAGAAAAATTCAGTGGTAATATTTTTCCAGCATCACTTTGCACATTTGGATTTATAATTAACATTCTTTACTGAATCTAAAATATGTGGTAGTAATGGAGGACATTTTTTTAAAAAGATTTTATTTATTTATTTGAGAGAGAGAATGAGATAGAGAGAGCATGAGAGGGGGGAGGGTCAGAGGGAGAAGCAGACATCCCGCTGAGCAGGGAGAGCCCGATGCAGGACTTGATCCCGGGACTCCAGGACCATGACCCGAGCCGAAGGCAGTCGCCCAACCAACTGAGCCACCCAGGAGCCCGGAGGACATTTTTTTAAGCCTCTGTTAGTCATCATGTTTTTAAGTGATATCCTAATAAATAGAAATATCAGTGAAAGTCTGAATTTAGAGAAACTAGACAATAGAGTTTTAATACTATAATTAATAAGGGTATTTTTTTTAAAATGAATCATACATATTACTAATTCCTATCTGTATAGATAGAATTGTAAATAAGGAGGATTCATTCAGAGATCAGAATTAAAAGCAAAGTTCAAATGTGGAAGTACTAATTATTCCTGACATAGCATCTTATGCAGCTATGTTATTGCCAAGAAAAAAAAAATTCTGTTACGACAATGAGACATTGTAATTTAACACCTCTCTTGCCAATGTAAGGATTTTACATAGAAAATGAGAAACGGTATCTTGATTTTTCTTTATGTAAGCATTTTTTTTGTTCCATACATGCATTACTGCACCTCTGTTTAACTTTCTTGACTTTGTTATGTTTATATTTTTCTTTGACTTTGTCTCAATTTCAGCTATGTAATGCCTCTATGAAAGGTATGATTTTGATACATCAGTGATACTTTCCTCATACTGAATCTAAGAAAAGTCATAAATCTCTAAAGACATTCATCAAAACAAAACTTTTTAAAAAAAGTTTGGTACTTTCACCATTAGTGAGTACTAATAATTTGTACAAAATGTTCTCTATTCTTCTAAACCCAATAAAAACAATTAGTTCAGTAGCAGAAAAAGTAGGCTCAATAAATGATTATTACAAGAATAAACAAATATAAAACTAAAAGTTTACCTCAATTCCTGAAAAAATTAGATTTGGAGAATAGTGCACTATGGTTCTGGTGTTATAGGCACTGTCCTTCTTATTTTTGACTGTGAGACTAACATTGAACTTATCGTTGTGGGACCTGACAATAAGCAGGCCCTTTTCTGTGGTGGATACTTTCAGGGCGAGGTCCGAGATACATTTTTCCTTGTTTCCACAATCTTTGGCAAAGGGAATCTGAAATGGTCACAGGAAAGTGTTTTTCAACATTTAGTTAAGCATGACTGAAAATTGCTTATTAACCTGCTTAGTGAAATGACATATTGCCAAACTAAGTTAAGCAACTCATAAAAAGAACAGATTCCACTGCAGAAATCATAAGGAATTTTAGATTTATTCCTATAATTTATAGGGAAAAATAATAAACTCCTGGATATAAATTCTTCCAGTCCTTTAAAGAATGCACAGTTTTTCACAGATGTTTTTCACTTTTAGTCTGCCAGAGTAGAAGAGTTTCAAAAAAATCAAGTCAAGTACTCTAAGATCTAAATCTATGAGAGAACACTTTAACACGCAACCCCAATTACGAGATTTTCTATTGAAAAGAATCAAATACTTAGGAATGTAATAGAGCTCAGAGGTAGAAAATGGTCAAGCCACATAACTAGGAGCTTTCCTTGACTCGTCTTCCCATTAAGCCCCACCCTCTTATATAAACCTTCGCTAAGATCTGTCCATTCTACCTCTCATTCTAAGTATCTCCAAACTCTCCATTTCCACCATCACCTCTAGTCTAGCCATCCTTATTTCCCCCCTGAACTAATGCAACAGCTTCCTAAGTGGTTTCCTGCACCCATTCTTGTTCCAGTCACTGTTCCTCCAGTCATTCTCTACATTGCAGCTGGAGTAATCCTTAAAAATATATAAATCCAGTACTATCACTGAACCAACTAAAACCATCAATAGCATTCCATTTGCTCTTCAAGATATCTGTGCAGTAGCACAAAGTCCAGAATGATCTGGTTCCTGCCTATGCCTCCCTCCTCATCCCTATCACCTTCTCCCCTTGCTCTTCAGCTTCAGCCACATTAGAGAGTTTAGTGTAGTTCCTTTACGCCTCAGAACTTTTACACATATCTCTGTGCATGAAACATAGCTCCCTCCACTCCTGTGAATAGGATGGAAAATCTTCCTATGCTTCAGGTCTCAATTTAAATGTCACAACTTCAGGAGTGTGCACCCTGACTTTCTATGTAGGCAGAAGTTCCCATAAAACAATTAAGTTCTCCAGAGCACATGCTTTAATTCCTACCTAATACTTGTTTCTTAGGTTATACTAAACTCTGAAGCCTGGTATGGATAAGATACCCAATAAATATATTAGAAAGGAAAAAAGGGAAAGTGAAAGTGAAAGATATGGGTATGGGGAAAACTATTTCCCCATCCCTAATGTTTCCTCCATTGGTGCCACCCCATCTTTCTTCTTGCTCACTCACTCTTTCTCAGGTGTGAGACATTGGACTTTGTGAATTTGGAAGCAGGAGCAGGGTGAACACAGCTCAGTCCCTTTCCACCTCTTCTGCTCTTGGGGCAGTGGTGTGCCCATGGGAAGCATATATTCTTGCTCTATATTTCCATTCTGCAAGTTTTATGAGGTGGGCCCCCTTGAAAGAGGCCTGAGATTAATGAGCACTCTGATGACGTACTTGGTTATTTGTGGTCTAAACCTTGTTCAGTAGGAGGACACCCAATATGCCTAAGCCATGTATGCAACCCAGTGTTCATTAGTAATAAAGGGAGTTCCAGGAGGGTAAACCATGTCGTTCTTTCAACTGGTCCTAAATTTAGCAGAGATTAAAAGAGATGCTGTTTGTAAGTTCCCTCCAACAATAGGAAATAGAAGAGTTGAGAAAAGTCTAGAAGAGTCTCATTCTTTTTTTAAAAAATTGATGTAGGGTTGTGTATGTGTGTCTATGTGTTTCAGTTTTTTCCCCCCCAATATGTTCACATATAGGCATTCTGAATTTTAAAAAAATATGACTTACATATTCATGTACTGAACTTGGTAGGGAATCATCAAGAACAGGCCCATTTTCTGGATCGGTAAGATTAAAATCCAAAGTTATCCTTACAGAGTCCCGAAAGTCATGCTTGTCCTACAGGTTGAAGCATAACATATTTTATCATTGGTATCATATTTGCTGAATGTTCTGGCCTTCTTATGGCTTCCTTCTTCTGCCCCTGTGGGTCATGCTAGCTGGAACATTCTTGTGCACCTGATCTGACATGATCTCATCAGGCTTTTGCTTCATTGGAGAGAGACTGCCTTCTACCTTGATAAGGGACAATGCTGAATGCAGAGGCTTCAGAATATGACCAGTTGATTCACCGCCAGCTTCTCGGGGGCCCTGCTGGAGTAATAGGATGTGCCATACTTGCCATGTGAAGATATACTACTCTGGGCTGCTTGTATAAGAATATCTTTTCTCTTGAGATCTTGAGCTAAAAACTGCCATTTGAGCTAAAAACTGCCATGTAATACTTCTAAGAAAGTCTCCCAACTTCAAATGAGCAAACTTTCTTTAAATTGAGTTGAATTTCATTAGTATAACATATGTCTCAAGTTGCAAGAATTTTATAATGTAAAACGATATGTAAGTAATAGGAATGCAATCAATATCGTTTTATACTATCATGAGTAACACCCATCATTTATGGCATGTCCGGAATTATGAGCTTTACACACTTTATTGAGAAGTATTTCAACAGTCCTCCAAGATGAGTAACTATTATAGTCATTATTTTACAAATGAAAAACTGGGTCTCTAAGAGACTAAACAACTTGGTCAAAATCACTTGGAATGTAGAGAAGCTTTGAGACAAATTCCATCCTGGCTGACTCCAGAACAAATGTTAATGTGTCTATTAAAACCCAAAAGAATTTTAGAAATTTTGAAACTAGTCCGTTCCTTTTAATACCAAGTGCCTACACATAGCTAGATTCTACAATTTGGACAAATATACACTACAGTGATTTCTAGCAGGTTGAAGGCAGGGGCACATCTGATTTCACACCCTTTCAAATTTATACAAGTTCTAACTCCTAAATGTTCAGTTCTGATTCAGTAAATAGGGGGTAACTCCAGTTTTTTTTTTCTGATTATAGATTGATCTTAGTGTTGACAGATAAGTTAATTTTGATATATATTCTATGGGGAATATTGACTTGAAAATCACTGAAAAAAAATACAGTACACCAACAGGCATGTTTTCTGTCACTTTCTTACCCTGACTATAATATTTTAAAAATATAGAGTATGAATACATCAAGAATACAGAAATAAATCAGAGGTGGGGGGAATTTGGCCTGTTTTCTTTTAAAATTCCAGGATCATGTATAAGTCCCAAGTCTGTCTCAGTCACTAAAATCAGTGTTTTCTCATTACATCCATTCTTCCCTCTTTTTTTTTCTTTAAGTATCATGTACGTTATAAGAAAATGTTAAGAAACTCCTGCCCTTATTGGGAACATTTCACATTTACATAGTGACTAAATAAAATGCATTTTAAATGGTTCAAATTGGCTTCCTAGCCATCTACGGAGATTAATAATTTGCTTTCCAAGGCTCCCTTATTACTGTAACAGAAAGAAACTTAGGTAGCACAAAGCCTATGGATAATAGAAAATGCCAGATTTTTTCCCTTTAATTTAAAGTCAAAGAGTGAAATACATAGTTCTGTGGACAAGAAGGGACCCCAGAAAACCTATGGCCCAACATTTCTCCTCAGGGCATGTAATCACTTATCCACATGTGACAGATGAGGCCCACAAAAGTTAAATGATGATTTCAGTTTGAAAGAATAAATGAATGAATATATAAAAAAGAGTGAATGAATGAATGAAGGCAGAAGGTTTCTTATCAACTAGTGCACTGTGCCTTCTACTATTCCATAATATAAGGATGACTGATAACACACACAGGGAAGAGGAAAGATAGTTTTATGAAATGCACTTGGAAATCTGAAAATCAGACCTGTGATTTTCTGATAAAAGTGACCAAATAAAATGAAGTTTACTTCATCATGTGCACTTTGAAATGAAATCCATAAGATTGACTTGAAATAAGACATCTATGCTTTATTCTTGATTTGGAATAAAGCAGTTATAACATATGATTTACTTGCCAACATGTAGAAGGAAAGCTTAGTGCATTCTGATTCTTCAACTGTGATGTTTCTTTGAATCCTTCTTTCTTGAGTTCCAGAGAAAAAACTTCGTGATATCTGTCTTAGTGAATCTAGTGTGAGACGGTATTGCATATCTGGAAACAAAATGACAGAAATATTTTCTTGGGGTAATTTTTATATGGTCTAGTTCATTAAATTAACATTATAGAAAACTCTTGAACAATCAGTCAACAAAAAATTTCTATTACTCAGCTTATCCACACTACTGTAGTACAATGGTGGTCCCAGTCATGAAGATAACTTTCAAGAACTCTGCAGAACCACTCTCTGAGTTTACTATGCCTTTGATGTTTAATCACACTTATTTTATAACGTATATGTACATATGCACACCCACACACTCATACACATGTACACCAACATATAAACTAATTTTCTGATCAAGCATGTGTTTATTGGGTTTTCACTTAAATTATTTTTTTTTAGTTTAGCAATGTTGAAGCCCTGTTTAGAATATTGATTTTATTATTATTATTTTTTTAAAGATTTTATCCATCTATTTGACAGAAAGAGACACAGCGAGAGAGGGAACACAGCAGGGGGAGTGGGAGAGGGAGAAGCAGACTCCCCGCCGAGCAAGGAGCCCCATGCGGGGCTCAATCCCAGGACCCCGGGATCATGACCTGAGCCAAAGGCAGATGCTTAACGACTGAGCCACCCAGGCGCCCCTGATTTTATTTCAATAGATAAAAAATATATACACTAATGAATTCTTATCTATTTTATGAAAAAGTCACTTCAGAATGTTCAAAGAACATAATAAAAGAAGCTTAATAAATAAGTTTAATAAAATAGTCATACCAAAATAAAAAACAAGTTAAACTTATGCTTTCTAAAAAGGCAACAATCCTACTTATTTGATTGCTTAGTTACTCTATAAAAATTAAATGAGACTCAAATAATGTTGTATATGAAAACGTAAATCATATTTTACAGTTTTACCTAATTTATCTTCTAGTCAGAGGGCTATTGCAGAGTATAATTATGAAAAATAGACTTTAAGGATTAACGATTTTTCATATTCTACTTACATTTGGTTTATAGAGTAAACTACTCTTTTGCAGCCTATGGCCTCCACAATTTTGACTCCAACATATTTCAATATCATTAAAAAGCCACCTTAGGAAGTGTACATGTAGGGAGGAGGACATACCTAGACTGTGCCTGAGAACACACACATGGAACATGTCTGATTCTCAAAAACCAGGGTCACCTTCTAAGTGGAGCAAAGAGATCTCAGGAAGTGGGGGTGGCAAAGTATTCAAGTGCTTTGTAATACCAGTCTTACCAAAGAGAGGGCAGGAGAAGGAAGAGAGGGTTTGTGAAAACCCACAAGAAGGAAACCTGGGCTCCTTGGCCCAATCTCCAAACTCTACTTCTGAAATGGTATTATTATTGTTGTTTTTAGCACCTGGTTGTGGTACATGGGAGAGCCAGAGGGAAACTATGGACTGTGGAGACCATTGCACATAAGCATATAGTTTCTGCTCCAGATTTTACTGGGTTCTATAACATAGTCTTTCTTCAGTAGATTTTTTTTTTCAAGGTTCAACATATTCACAGGGGCAAATGTGATAAGCAGATCCCTCTCATGGGGTAAAATACAATATCTTACTGGATTTCATCATGCAGGACCCAATGTATTGTCCTCCTGCCCCAAAGTACTTGGTATACATTTGACACTTACCAGCTACAAAAATTGTCTCTTCTTTGGACTTTAATTTCACATCAAAACACACTGTGGCATTTATGCATACCGTTTCCTTTCCTTCCACATGGCAGTTTTTCTTTTGGATATTCACTTTATTGGGTTCAAAATTCATGGTCACTTTAACAACAGCCACATCTCGGGACCTACAAACATAAACAATGATGATTATTCACACATTTTCACATTTAATGAATGCCATCATTATGGGAATGCAATATGAATGCACTGATGGGGATACTTTTTTGTGTATAGTTGGGCTCTCAGGATTCCATTTCTTTGGTGATTTTTAAAAAATATTTATTTTATTTTTTATTATTTTTAAAGATTTTATTTATCTAAGAGATAGAGAGAGAGAGAGCAAGAGAGCTTGTGCATGAGCAGAGGGGAGAGGCAGAGGGAGAGGGAGAAGCAGATTCCCCACTGAGCAGGGAGCCCGCCTCGGGGCTTGATCCCAGGACCCTGAGATCATGACCTGAGCCAAAGGCAGATGCTTAACCTACTGAGCCACCCAGGCGCCCCTATTTATTTACTTGAGGGAGAGAGAGAGAGCATGTGTGAGCAGGGGATAGGGAGAGAGGGAGAGCCTCAAGGCTACTCTGCGCTGAGCTTGATCCCAGGATCCTAAGGCCATGACCTGAGCCGAAACCAAAAGTCGGGTGCTTAACCTACTGAGCCACCCAGGCGTCCCTCTTTGGTGAATTTTTGATACAGAAAAGATGGTATGTGATGTTCTGAGGACACCCAGGTTGTTTTGGGACTATCTTAGGCTTTGGTTCTGAGTGGTAGCGGAATATACTACCTCAAAATGTGACTACAGGAGTTCAGGCCATGTCATTCCAAAACATATCACTTTGGTATATTGATTATTTTGAGCTGTAGGCACTTGACAAACAGCAAATGCAGGAAGAGGCTTCTGCGAACTTTCCTTGTACCCAAAGACACTCCGAAAGGAACTTCACTGGAGTTCATCGACCAGGAAGGATTGGCTCCTATCATAGGACAGGAGACACCACAGGAGATGAGCTTTGTCACAAACTATCATATCACCCATCTGGTCTTTCCTAGGTCCATTTAACTTCCTTAAAAAGTATTTACTCTCCTTATAGAGGCCTATATACCTTCTTCCTTTTCTCTATTAAGATGGTATTTCAGTCTGAATTCTAAGCCACCTCAAAGAATTACTCATTTTTCTCTGGGTATCTCCCATGTATACATGGGGTATACATGTTAATAAATTTCTATTTGTTTTTCTCTTGTTAATCTTTTATTACAAGGGTACCAGCCAAGAACTCAGAAGGCTAGAAGGAAGATTATTTTTCATTCCTTACAGTTCACAAGACAAAAATCTGTTTTGCCTGTGATGGAAGGAAGATGGAATCAAGTGCTCAGGTGCAACCTCAGAACCAAAACCAGATTTTGGGAATCTTTGAATTTGTTCCCAATCTGGAAAGAGTCCAAAGGTCCATGGACAACTTGTGTGCACTATAATACTTGTACAGACAAGTACAAGTACTATAGCTAGTTACCTTGTGAATACATAGGTCTTTGATTTGCTTTTGCATTAAAAAACTGTATTTTTCTTTTAAAACATCTTACCCATAGAAAACATGAAAACATAAAAAAGGAAACAAAGAACACAGAAATCACTTGTAATTCTACCACTCAGCAATAATCACCATTAATATTGGATATGCTTCTTTTTCTTTGAAGAATATATATCTATACATATAGATATGTGTGTGTGTATATATGTAGAGAGAGACATATACACACATGCATATACATCCATACATACTTTTAAAACATCATAATATAATGAACAGATTTCTAATATTTGTATTTTTCTGGGAACATTATTTTTAATGACAATATACTATTCCAACATATGTATGTATTGTAATCTGTTTACTCAGTCCTTTCTTATTGGACATTTGTCTTAATTTGTTTTTTTTTTTTTTAAAGATTTTATTTGTTTATTTGACAAAAAGAGACACAGCGAGAGAGGGGAATACAGCAGGGGGAGTGGGAGAGGGAGAAGCAGGCTTCCCGCTGAGCAGGGAGCCCGATGCGGGGCTCGATCCCAGGACCTGGAATCATGACCTGAGCCGAAGGCAGACGCTTAACGACTGAGCCACCCAGGCGCCCCTTAATTTGTTTTTTTTTAAAAATAGTGACTAGCCCAGTGCTGTGATCACTCTAAAGATTATATATCTTAGATGTAGATTAAATCTTTAAAAATTTTTAGGAAGCAAATTCCTTGTTAAAAAATACGAATATTTTAAGGCTTTTTAACAGTTATTGGCAAATACCTTCTAATGTGTTTTAACCAGTTTACTCTTTCACCAGCAATGAACAAGTATGTCTAGTTCCCTGCTTAGTAGTTTGGATCCTTCAGGAATGAGGCTGCCTTGACCACTTCCCACCGCACACCCATCTGCCCCAACAAGGTCTTTAAAAGGGTTATAGCACAATTTATTCCACATGATGGGGCATTCAATATCTGCTCCTGGAAGTCCCTGATTGGGATGGACTTCTGTTTATTGCCTGCCACCTATATCCACTCTAAATCCCTCCTTCAGCATTGTAAATCTTGGTCTTCCTGTCCCAGTCTGTTTGTCTGGGCAATGATAGGGGTCCAACTCTGTCATTTTGGCCCATCAATGATAAAGCACTGACTGGGAGTAAAAGAGGCCATAAAAGTAAGTCTTCAGAGCTTTGTAAGAAACCTTTGAAACAAAACTGGAGAGTAAAAATTGCCCTTATAATGTATGTATTTTTAATGAGAGTGAATACACTAAATATTTTTTGAGTTAAGGTTATCAAAATAATTTAATCCAGGATTAACCATTTAAACAGAGACTAAATGTACCCTTTGTTGCTGATACTGGTGACTTCTGGTTTGGAGTCCTGCTTCTGGGTGAGCCCTCCCAAAGTCACAGCTACTTGCTACCCAGCATTCTCCTTTCCTAGGCACCACCTTACAATTTCTTTTCCCCCTACTGTACAGTTAAAACATTTTTTAACATAATGGTTATTATCCGTGTACAGTTTAGTGTACAATTTTTATTTGACCTTAAGTTCTTAGACATTATCTCTATTTTTAATTTTTAAATTTTTTCTTCAAATTTTTAAGTTGCAGTATAGTTGACATATAATATTATATTAGTTTCAGGTGTGTAAAACAGTGATTCAATAATTGTATTCATTATGCTATGCTCACCACAATATGTGCAGTTACCATCTAGGTATGGTATGGTATAAATATAATATATAAATATAAAATATATGTAATAGAAATATAATATAAACACAGACCATGATGCACAATTGTCTAATTATACATATTAGGTAATGAATGAAGAGTCAATTACCCCGAAAAGTTTGTGAACAACTCAAAATTAAGCATATTTTCTTGTTTATATAATTCTCTACGAGGCCCTCTTCTTCCCTATGCTGCCCCCTAAAACAGAATACCTACCTTAGTGGCAAGCACATAATAAATACCCCAAATTAAGAATTGGTTCTACTTGTTCCTTTAATATGGTTTCTCTATTTTTAAGATTTATTGACTCCCCCAGCTTCTTTAACTAAATAGCTTTTATCTAAATAATGGGGTACAAAAGAAAACAGATATTTGGTATGACAGGAGCTCCAATCATACTCTGAGCTCTGGAACTATTTGTGCAGTATCACCAGATGAATTGGATGTTATTAAAATACATACCAGAAGAGGGCAGCACCACCAAGGCCCCCAATAGTCACATCAGTCAGACCATCACCATTTAAATCCATTTCTCCATGGATAGACTGGCCAAAAAATTTTAGTGTCTTGCCATCTCCACCTGATGGAATACGCTGTGAAAGTACCAACAGAGAGTTTTTATGCCAGAGTGTCTCTTCAAAAGCAGTTTTAAATAAATCCGAGAACTTGGATTGGTTAACAAAAAATAAAACTTGCAGATCTTTTGGAATCCTGCCTAAGAAGCCCCTCATGCGGAGACAAGTTGAATTACTCAGATGTTACCAAAGGTTATTCTTTTTATAGCACAGACAAAATAATCCAGGGTTACTGACACCAGAGAGAGGGAAAAAAATTTTATAACGTCATCTTGTCTAATGCTCAAGGAAAACATTGTGAGTAATTGGCTCTCCTTTCTAGTTCCCACTCAATCCCATACCACAGAGATATTTAAAGATACTGGAACCTTGAAAACACATCATACAAGCAAGAGAGGAAGTAGAAGTTTGTCCTAGGGGTCAGTTTGGGGTTCACGAAATTTGGGGGATGGATATAAATAACACATTCCATCAAATACATTTTCCAGTGTATGATTTTCTTTGCTAAAAGTCAAGGGCACCATAAACTCAATAGGTACAAATGAATGTGGAGTTCTCGAGGACTGATTTGTGCACATACCCACACATAATGTGTTTAATATTCATACTTCCTGATTTAGCTTTGGTTCAAGCTGATAACATTTTAATAGAACCTGATGGCAAGGAGACAGGACTGACAGACCCTCCCTAAACTTGAGGTCTTCTTAAAAACCATAAATTAAGAAGGCAAATAAGGCAAACCAAATGGAAACACTTTCCATGCTGAAATGTTTGTGGTTCATTGGGAAGTATTTCCTTATTTTTTCATCAAACAAACCAGAGACATCTGCCTCATTGGTTCTGGAGGAGTTCATTCAGTTTGATTCTGGATTATCACATACACAAACAGCACCTCTGGTTACCATGGAAACAAGTGAGCACATCCTCACCTATCCCTGGGAAAGCATTTTGCCAATAATTAAGCAAACCCAACTCTACTATTCTTTTTTCTTGTTATTTAAAGCTGCATCTTGAGTTACCACCATTTTACAAAACAGATTTCTTATGACAATCTATCCTATTATTAATGATTTAAATATCCTCTTTTTTTCCTACTGCAAATGTCATTTCACTAAGTTTTCAGGATTAATAGTGAAGGAATAAAGTGGTAGAACACAAGAAAGAAATGCCTTCCTGCAGCTCCTTATTCCATCATGCTCCCATGGTTAATACTGCCTGTTTTCAGTTAAGTAATACCATGAAGAATTTTGAATTATTTGAAAACAAATAATTTACTAAGTGGATGGAAGTGTTGTTACTGAAATATGCCCTTTACTTTATTGTTTCACTAATGTCATTATCACTTTACGAAAAATTAAGCACAACTTCACATGAATAGATTTTGAGAATTCTTTTGACTATAGTACAAAAAGAACAACTATAAAAAGAAATAATTGATGTTCTGATTTTCTTTTCATGTTATATTAGTTCAATGCCTAACTACTTATGGTTACTTAAAACAGACAATTACATTAGAAGAAGTCCTTTAAACTCTCCTACTTTTATAGTGCATTAAATACTTCTGCAAATTGATATTTTTCTTATGTAGAAAAAATTACATTTATGGATTAGAACCATTAACTGACAATAAATTTAAAACAAGAACAACAGAAATCCCCTGCAGGTTAAGCTTAATTATTCATATTTTTTTCCAGGAGGGATTACTTGTGAGGAAATTGTAAACCTTCAGGAACCCAAATTCATTTGACAAAAATATACCAATTTAAGTCATAAATATAAATGTAATGCAATTTCATTATAACAACACAGATATTGAATATAAAAACAATAATCTCATCTTTATTGGCTAAATTATATCATTATTGTTCTCTTACTCAGAAAGTGGTATCCTCTGTTTAGGATCAGGCACACTGCAACTGTTAAATCGCATCGTTAAAAAATGTTCACTTTTTTTTTTTTTTTGGTTTGTGTTTTACTATTCCGAGAGCTCAGATCATGGAGACATGACAAATAACAGAAAAAAAAAAAAAAAAAAAAAAAAAAAAAACCTAGATAAACGGATAAAATACAAAATAATGCTTCTGTAAAGAAAAGAGAAGTAAATCTAGTTTCCCAATAGAGTCAGAAGAAAAAAAAAAAATGAAGTAACTCATGAAGCAAGACAAGAAGCAAGCCTAGCATTGAACCCACTTATCGTTTAAGGGTGGAATGTGTACGTTTAACTTCTTACTTGTGCGTACTCTTTCCTTATAGTCTTGCCACTCCCATGATAAATATACACGGCTCCCCCATGATCATCTTCCAGGGGAGCTCCTATCACAATGTCATCAAATCCATCAAGATTGAGGTCTCTCACAGCAGCGATAGCTGTTCCAAAACGAGCCCCGCATGGCTCATTTTTGTTTTCTTTTGTGCATGAATTGTGCTTCAGAGATGAGCAGCAAGTCTGTTTAATGGGCTCCAGGCTCATTTGATATTCAAACATTGTCTGGAAGAACGATAAACAGGATACTTATGGATTTCTATCATCACTACAGCATAGTGAAGTTTTTAAGTACATGCTAAATCAGCGCTGTGAAGAACCATTTGTACATCAACGGTAAAGTTTGTAAAATTTCTTAAAAAGGGTGCTTATCTGGATCGAGTTCCGCATGGGGTTCCCTGCTAGGCGGGAAGCCGGCTTCTCCCTCTGCCTCTCTCTCTCTCTCTCTCTCTCTCTCACTCTCATGAATAAATAAAACATTAAAAAAAAAGGGTGCTTATCTGAGAGCCACGTAAAGATTTTAAAGAACAGATTGTAGAAGTGTAGGGAAGAAGGCATATTGAGGATTTTAATGGATTCTCTTTTTAATGCAACATAGTGAGTATATAACTCACAGAGTGTTTTTAAAGCCAAAGAACTGAATTTTTAAATCCTCAATTCAGGCCTTTATCCTTCCTTCATCCAAAATTTGCTGCTTTGAAAAGTCTCTGTAGAGTCTCCTCTGTAGGGCAAAGAGGAAATTACTCTGTTCAAAAAGCAAACTTTCCCCAAAGCTATCTAAAGCAAAACAAAACAAAACAAGACAAAAACCCCTGAAAAACTCAGTAAAGAAAGTACTAGTAATGATGGACAGGAACACACGTTCTAGGAAAAAAGGGAAAAAACAGCCCAGGACCAAAAAAAAAAAAAAAAAAAAAAAAAAATTGATGGAGGAAGCAAACAAAATGATAGGAAGAAAGATATACAATTTATGAATTAAAAAATTAATTGGAGAGACTCTAAGAATTTAAAAAGCTAAATGGATGAATACTGGACTTTTCTGTAAACAGCAAAACAAAACAAAACAAAACACTCTTCTAATGAAGAAATTGAGAATTATTTCACCTAACAAATGATGTCTAAAGTCAGGAGTGGCAAACAAAATCTCAGTCCAGCCCAGTGAGGTATTCCAAAGACCATCGTAGTTTGCTGAAACCAGTCACTGCCTTAAAATTCACTACTCCACAGTCTCTCTGCTTCTCTAGCTTTAACTGTTTTAACAGCAATTGCAGTTTTAACTGCTATGTTTCCAACACCTCCAGGCCAGAGCCATGACTGGCTGCCCTGTGAGTTTATTTAGCAGTTTAATAAGATTTATATTTATCTTTATTCTATATTTTCTGCTAAAAAAGAATAGTTCACATTTCCGAGCAGAAAACATCTAATGGTTTGAACTACCTTATTAGAATTCTAAAATGTTCATTTAGAAACTGAGGAGTTGGTGGGGGTAAAGAGGCCCTGAAAGATTCTTCGCTCCTTTTTCTAAAGTGAGTACAAAATTGGAACTGCATTACTTATTTGAAATTGAAAGAAAGGAAGAGAGATTCCTGAAATTCTGCCAAACTCAGAGGTAGCATTACCTGATTCAGAGCATACACATATACTTTCCCTTGTTCCTCTTTCTCTGTTCCCATGTACATGGGAGCCCCAACCAGAAGAATGTCGGTATTAGAATCTTTATCAATGTCAATTGTTGTTAAAACACTGCCAAAGTAGGAACCAATCTAAGGTACAAACAAAACAAAACAGTCTGATGAATATCAAAAATTCTCAAGATAGCTAAAAGCCTGAATTTCTTTTACTTATCCTCATCTAGAAGAGTATTTGAGATTCAAATAGATACGGAAATAGAAATAAAGTATAGAAATGGATTCTACCTGAGAGCTCTTTACTGGCTCTTGTCGGGGGCTAATAAATAGGCAGACCCACCCTTGAGGATGAGCCCCTGTCATAGATTTTGCAGCCTGAGAGTAAGAGAAACGGCTTCCTTTAGATTTCATCCTAATGTCTCTTTCTTCTCCAAAAAGCAGAAAATGTAAGTAATGCCACCATGATTTTCTTTAAGGAAATAAAATGAGATTAAACAATAAAAGGCATTCTGGGATAGCTTCAATATATGTTTATACACAGTAATATAAAAATATGAAATAAAATACAATAGGAAGAACTGAATGTCTTGGAATACCGGTGCAGGGAATTTCACCTTGTAGACTTAGAAGATTGTTCGCTCATGCATCTGATAAATTATTGAACACTGCATCTGAAACTAATGATGTACTATAAATTGGCTAATTGAAATTAAATTAAAAAAAAAAAAAGAAGACTGGGGCTCCTGGGTGGCTTGGTGGGTTAAGCGTCTGCCTTCAGCTCAGGTCATGATCTCAGGGTCCTGGGATGGAACCCCGCGTTGGGCTCCCTGCACAGTGGGGAGCCTGCTTCTCTCTCTCCCTCTCCCCTTCCCCACTCATGCTCTCTCTTTCTCTCAAATAAATAAATAAATAAATAAATAAATAAATAAAATCTTAAAAAAAGAAGATTGTTTACTCAACAAAATGGCTAAGTCTTGTCCTAGCACTTGCGGAAGATAGAAAAATATAAAAGGTTTGCAGGGGGACCATCCCCTTGCAGCAATGTTTGTTCTTTTAAAGATATGGATGTATTTTAGGGAAATGCAGGAGACTTACACTTCATTATCTAAATGCAATAACCTTCCCAAATATTGACCTGTGTTTAATATTTGATGCTCTTGATAGCTGTCTTATTGAAACTTCCTGTCTTGGCTTCCATGATTTTAATTTTGCTCTCTTGATTCTGCCACGATATCACAGGCCACCCTTTGTTTTCATCTTTGCTGGTTCCTTTTCCTCCTCCCATGCCATAGATTTTGGCCTCCCCTAAGCTAAGACCTGCATTTTTCCACCATTCTCTTCTCCTAGGTGGCCAGTCCTTCCAAACATTTCTATTACTGAAAATTGCAAATTTCATTCTATCTTCTGCTCAAGGCTCCAGTTCTGCATTCCTAGACATTGCTAGACACTCAGACAACTGCTAGACATTGGTTTTCAAATGTCCTTTCCTCATAGGTTATGAAGGGTTGAAAAGGTTTTTTGTTTTTTTTTAAGTTGAATTAATTACAAACATAAATAAAATGCTGTAAGATCTAGTAACCTCGGGTCTTCATTCCCCCATGACAATAGCCATCTGGAGCTGAGTAGGAGCTTAATGTTTAGAAGGCTCATGAGCTGTCCAGTCCATGGTTTCCACCATTTCCTGCTGTCTTCTGTGTAGTAGCTTTATTTATTTACTTTACCTTCCTGACACCCACAACCATTTGAATTTGTACTCACTGTTACAGGAAATATGTAAAACCAAATACCATTTAAAAAAAAATCTACACTGCTTGAGTTGCTGACATTCTAATAATGGTGCTACCTTTCTCTCAGATTCCCAGGCTTGAAACTTAAATCATTCATAATTTAAATCATTTGTAACTTTCATCAGTAATTTTTCACAAAATTTTCACTTCCTGTCTTATAGACAATTAATAGAGTGATATCAGACCTAAGATGTCATAGAAAATGCTTCGTTTTACAATCCTGTCAGTTCCTCCTTATTTATGTCTACTACATTCCTTCCTTTTCCATTTTTATTGGTGATACATCATTTTAGGCTCTCTTCACCTTAGCCTGTTTTTAGATTGTTGAAGTATTTTCTGATTACAAATGTGGGCAAAGGGCTAATAAAACCCTTTCACCAGGTTTTATTATTTTATATATATGAGAATCTTTATACATGAGACTCTTAATTTTGGTTCACTCTAACTCTGTTCCCCTGGACATCTGTGGGGGAAAGGAGTTCAGTTATACTACTAAGCAATATTGAGATTGGTCAAAATAATCTCTGGTTGGGACATTGCATTTAGGCTGTGGGGATCTATAAATACCTGATGGAGCTAACATAGTTTGGGCTTCCCAAGATGACTCTGACAACTGCACGCCCTTAGCTAGAGCCCTGAAAGCTATGTTTATGGTGTCATTCTAAAAGATATTGGCTCCTGTGGGGTGTTAAAGAGAGGGCAGCTCTGTCCTTGCCTGATGTGTCTGTCTCCTCTGACCTAAGCTGTTCTGCTGTGCTGGGCATCTGTGAGTACACCTGCAGGGGAGGAAGGCTGATGCTGCCTAGCCTTGTGGAGTAGTTGGTGATGAGAGGAAGGTCGAGGGGCAGTCTGGTGACTTGGGATATTTAGTGAAGCCCAAATGATTGCAATGCAATACTAACCAATAACACAGATGTTTTGGTTAAAAAATATTTACCTATATTTATGTTTGCATATTGCATGTATAATTTCTTAAACTACTTTTAATATTCAATATCATCTAATGAGAATTTTTTGATTTTACATAACTTCCCAATACTTCCAGGAGAAAATCCAAATTCTTTAGTTTGCCATTCAAAAGCCACACAGTTGGGGTCCGCGTTATCTTTTTAACTGGCTCTTCTGCTCTTTCTACCTATCTATGGTCTATCTTTCCTTCTAAACTAGCACAAATCTTATTCCGTAGTAAGATCTTTGGCACCAATCCTAGCTTAAAACAATCTTTCCATCTTCTGCATTTACTGTCTGTGCCATTGGCATTTTCAGGCTTAATGTTTTAGAATTTTTTTCTTATATGTATATATTTGTTCATGTGTATCTACATCATCATCTATCCATCTTACCTCCATTTCCATGCAACTGAAATATTCCTGAGGCCAAAGATGCAGGCATTTTACATCTCTACAAGGAAGCTAACATGGAGCCTTGTTTAAGGTTGATGTTGACTATGACAGTACTTTTTATTTTTATTTTTTTATTATTATTTTTTAAAGATTTTATTTATTCATTTGACAGATAGAGAGCACAAGTAGGGGGAGGGCAAAGGGAGAGGGAGAAGCAGGTTCCTTGCTGAGCAGGGAGCCCAATGTGGGGCTCGATGTGGGGCTTGATCCCAGGACCCTGGGATCATGACCTGAGCCAAAGGCAGACGCTCAACTGACTGAGCCACCCACGTGCCCCAGTACTTTTTCTTTTTAGAGTTTAGGACAATTGATGGTTAATTTAAATTTACATAGAGTATACATGGATTAAATTAAAACAATAATTTTTAAGCTTACCTGTTCTCCACTGAGTGTCTGGAGAATCTTGATGTCTCCATCTTCCATCCTGTAGATGACAACTTGGCCCGTATGATTGTACCGTGGCTGTCCAGCAATGTACAGCACATCTCCAGAAACAGTGGCGGAATTCACTGTGTAACCTAACAAAAGAGCAACGCCAGATGTCAAATATACTATCTGACCCCTTAAAGTCTGCACAGAATAAATTAAGATCCATTTTAAATGGTTGGGAGAATCATTTTTATATGTTTATATAGATTTCTCTTTTTTTGAAAATATTATTTAATGCAGGGAAGTTTGTCTCTGTAGAAACTTTTAGCATGCTCTCTGATTACTGTGATTGCTTTGTCTACCCCCACCTCGGTTTTTCATTGTTTAAAGGCACAAATGATATAACAATGATGACAGAAAATCCCTCATAATCCCAATTCACGACTTTGTAATAAATCAATTGTACTTCATCTAGACATATTTTATAGAACCTAAGAATTTTAATAATTATTACTTTTATTTTATTATTTTATTTATTATTATTTATTTTATAAAATTAATAATTTTATACAGCTGGAATCATAGTAAATGTAAGCCTTTTCTGTGTCGCTGCTGTAGATTTTTATTTATGTTTATTTATTTGTTTTTTAGAGAGAGAGGGTGCGTGTGTGCATAGGAGGTGGGGGGAGGAGCAGAGGTAGAGGGAGAGAATCTTAAGCAGGCGCCATGGCCATCACGGAGCCCCACGCAGGGCTCAATCTCAGGACCCTGAGATCATGATCTGAGCTGAAATCAAGAGTCAGATGCTTAACCGACTGAGCCACCCAGGTGCCCTCGCTGCTGTAGATTTTTAAGTAGTAATTTTAAGTAGTTGATGTTTATTTCTCTGAGTTAAGGCATAAAGGGATTACATTTCTACCACAGGATCACTCCCACTAGAATGGTAGAATTTTTAGGTGGTTTTTAATTTTTTGATATTATACTTAAGGCTGCAAAGACATCCTTGAACCTTTAAATTTTTTTCTTCTTTGGGGTTTTTGGTGACAAATTTTAAGGAATAGATTACTGGATCGAATTTTCAATTCTTTCAGTGTCTGGCAAATTGTTTCCAGAACATTTTTACTAATTTATTCCATGAACAGCCAAAGCACAAACTAGATTTATCAAACTCTCACAAACATTGGGTATCATTACTATTATTTAAATTTGTGAATGTTCTAATAGATGTTAAACATAATCTAACAATAATACTTCGCTGTGATTTTAATTTGCATTTGTTTGATTAAAAGGAGATGGGTGGGGGGATGGGTGAAATAGGGGATGGGGATGAAGGAGTGCACTTGTGATGAGCACCAGGTGTTGCATGGAAGTGCCGAATCACAATATTGTACACCTGAAACTAATATTACACTGTGTTAACTAACTGGAATTTAAATTTAAAAAGTGAGCTTTGACATTCCTCTTTTTAATTGGGCTTTCAGTTTTTGTGTGTCTTTGAGGCAGACAATTCAATTTTTGAGTGAAGAATTAAATTTATTCTTTGTGTCGTTAGAGTACAGAGCTAAATCAATGAATAAAAATTACTATGTGCACATTTCAACTCTACAGAAGGAAGAAATATTCTAATAACCAGATCTACCCATCAGCAGAGGAGAAGAGGGCAGATTATTTTTCCAAATGCCACAGAATAGTATTTCTTACTAAGAGAAAGATTATATGGAAAATTTATTTTCCAAGTGTTTTACTATAAGGTAATAGTTTCACTTTCTTACAACATTTCTGTAAAGGAACAGAGGTTTTTTTGTACTAAAACATGTTTAATCTCACATGTGCTAAAGGAACACAATTCCTCAGGCATTTTTCCTTCATGAATACTTTTCTCACATTCTTATTTCTTCATCTTTCTTTGAGCTTCTAAAAAAACTATGCATAATAAATTGTAAACTATTCTTTTTCGAACAAGTAATGTTACCAAACAAGTACTTATGTTACTAACCACAATATTGCTTAAAAAATAAAAACTTTAAGGTCATGTTTATACACAAATAAAATAAAAAAGAAGAATGTGCAAAACAAAGACTGTTTTATTTCATATCACTCTACTAAGAAATATTAAGAAGGGATTGGCCTAAGAGTGTTAGTACACTTTGATTTTTTTTTTTTTAACTTACAGAGCTATGAAGGCCAACTGATAAAAGAACATTTAAAAAAAAGTTAAAAAATTATGTTTGAGGCTTGGAGTTGTGTGGTTATTTGGTTAATTAATTTTGATAATTTGCTCTTGATAGCTACATCTATTAACTGAAGTCTTCACAACGACAGTATTCTACTGGTTAAGTCGTTACTGGTTGAAGCTCAAGTGTTTAAAGACAATAAGGAGGGAGAGAGAAAGAAAGCCAGGTAAAGTCTAATTTTCTTGAAAGGAAAATAATTATAAACATCTAAGCTTAATGTTGCTTTCTGAAGAGAAAAAAAGCAGAAAATCGAAGAGAAAGGAAAATTCATTCCATAGCCTGCTGCATGGATTTACAAGAAATAGATCCTGTCAGCTCTCATAATTCAATCCTTGGGAAAAGTGCTAGGATCTGGTGAGATAATGGGAAACAGGTACGTTCTGCTTTGGTTTCATGCATTTGCCTCACATCTTTACTTTTTTTCTTGAATTTGTCTGGCATGATTAGAAAGCGGCAGACCGTGGGTAGAGGAGGCAGGGAATGAGATTTCCACTGTTTTCTCACCATCAAAACCACTTGCTAAGTGCATATTGGCCTAAGGCAATTCCTGGGTTGTGGAAAGATGAGTGAGTGACTATACCCTGAGAGAGGTTCAACGGTTTCTGTTCCTACTTTTATCTGGTTATTATTGATTACTATGAGATTTTTTTTTTTATAGAGCATCTACCTCTCACTTTGTTTCCTCCATGAGATTTTCCACAGTCTAACAACTTGCAATCCACACAGATTTCAGACCAACACATTCAAACTCTTCTTAATTTGTAACCCATACAAGCAGACATTTTGAAAGTTCCATTTTAGATTTAGAATAATGTTTGTGGGTATAAAGGTATTTTTCTTCCCTGTCCCCTTTCTGGGTGTTTTTCTATTTTAAAAGAAATCTTATATATCTTAAACTTTATGTTGGCAAAATATCTTATGTGCTAACTTGTGATTAAGCTAATGAAATGATTTCTAAAATATAAAATCATCTAAGCACATTGTGGACAACATACTCCCAAATTTCCTTTTCTGGGCAGAAGGAAATCATATGTTATAAATACTGTGGTTACGAATGAAGGTTCTCTTAGTTTTTTTCTTGCTCACAGTGATATCCTTAAGTCTTGAATTCTCTAAGCCTGCTTTAAGCAACGTTGAATCTAAACTTTCTAGGAATAATAGATTTAGGATTCTTAAGACTATTCGGTTTTAAGGAATTTTATTACATAATAATAACTCAGAATATAAAAAACTAGTGTTATTAAAATGTGTGAGCTATTTTTTTTAAAAGATTTTATTTATTTTAGAGAGAGAGTGCACATGTGCATGCAAGGGAAGGAGGGAGAGAAAGGGAGGGAGAGAGAGAGAATCTGAAGCAGACTCTGCACTAAGCATGGAGCCCAACTCAGGGCTCAATCCCAGGAATGTGAGATCATGACCTGAGCTAATACCAAGAGTCAGATGCTTAAACAACTGAGCCACCCAGGTGCCCCAAAATGTGTGAACTTCTTAAGATGTCACACACATCTTTGTGGATTTCATGCCATATCTTTAATTTTGTAAATGTCTTTAATTTTGAAATGAACACTGGAATAGAATCAAGAGACCTAGATTCTAGTTCAGATCTGTCATAGGTAGCTGTGACATCATTTTTCTATTCCTTAATAACTTAATTTGGAAAGTTGGATGTTTACCATATGCTCTCTAAGATCTCTTTTAATGTATATGAATTTTGAGCCCAACCTCTTTATGTTCTAGCACAATCCTCCAAATACTTAAAAGATATGCTGTGTACATTTTGTTTCCTAACCATCAATTTCTTCAAATTTTGTCGAGGGTGGGGAAGGAGAGAAAGGAATTGTTTCCAGATCAGTATCCTTTAGATAATCTTTTAATCAGCACAGCCTAGATTGGCATTTTCTTTTGTTATGTGTAATGTCTGACCAGGGCAGAATGTAATAGGATTTTTATGAGAAATAAACTAGACTTTCATGAATGCAGTTCAACATGTGTTAAGGGGTTTGAGGACTCACATTATATTTGCTGCTTACTGCCATATTTTTAATTATCTTAAATCCTCAGGCCTTTCATTTTTCTTAAGTCTTGTTGCCTCTACAGTTTTAAGATGTGTCCTTGAATAAGGAGATTTATGGATCTACCAGTAAAGACCTCCTCCTACCTTCCTTGTAAAATAGAAATAAACTGGAATAGAGAGAGAAAAAGACTTGCCTCCAGGACAGAAAGATCCCAGAGAGGAATGCTAACATAGTAAAATTGAACAGTGAAAGATATTTGTTTTCTTTACCACTGCACCCCCAGCACCAAGAACAATGCCTCGGGCAAAATAGGTACCGGTCAAATATTTGTTGAGTGAGTAAAGAGTTGGGAAACCATACCCTGAGTATTTTTTTTCATCCTAGGCCCTCCTAATTATTGACTGAGATCATTTAGTGCTAGAATAGTTCCCTGGTATCTCCTAGGCAGCTTGGTACAGATCTAGAATAAGGTGATTCCTGACATATACCTCCTCATTCCAGAAACGTCTTTGAAAAATAAGATGATATTACATCTCACTATTTGTCTTATTTAATAGAGTTATTAAAGAAGAAGCTATATATCAAGACAAACTTACATTTTCTTTTCCAAAATTCGGACCCATAGAAAGAAACCAATGATATAGGATATTTTAGAGAAAATGGGAGTCTGATCTTCAGGATATTAGCTGAATCAAGGTTTCTCTTTTTTATTGTAATTTCCTGTCCACCAGGTGCAAAGCTCTTCTTGAATTTAATGAGAATACCAAACACAGGGAGACCTCAAAAAGTGCACATAACAGCCTAAATCATTCCTGCACTTCTGAGAGAGCATGACCTCCATGTTCTTTTATTCTGACTACTGCTCAGAAACTAAGGCTGCTTTGGAATTTCATGGGTCCTATAAAAGGTCTAACTCTTGGAAGTGATTTGTCTTACATGGTTATAAGTAAGCCTATATAAATATAAGCAAATAATGCTAAAAATAAAAACAAAACCAAAAATAAAACATAATAATTTTCTATCAATTACATCCAAACTTTACCTAAGTAAGAAGCAAGAGGTTCATTCTTTTTGGTAGACTCAACGTTAAAGGTCGTGTTTTGGGGGATTATGATTTGATTAGCCTTCTGCATGACGACTGTTCCATTCCAATCATAGGCTCCTACTGCTCCAAGCATGACCCAGTCCTTATATCCAAATAGAGAAAACAAATGATATTTAACAAAATAGTAAGAACACAGCATTAACAATGTGATGGGTTCCGGTCAAAGTGCTTTACATATATTAACTCATATAATTTTCACAATAACATGATAGTAACTTGGCAGAGTAAGTAACTTGCCCTAAGTTGGATAGTGCAATTGCCCATTGCAATGTTAATATTCCTTTGCATGGACTCTGATGCATTTTCTTTCCTCAACTACAAATGATACATTTCCCAATCTTGCCTTTCTGTTTAATTCTGTTAATTCAAGAATCCTAGGTCTTGAACATGGAATTCTAGTAAGATCTTTGATTGAATACACTGAAACTGAGAAAAAGATACATTCCATATCATTAGAAACCCTTTTAAGTTAAGTATTTCATTTAGCCAGATGTATAATTACATAAGGCAGACCTCAAAATGTTTGATTCACAATTATTAGTACAGTGTAGTGAACTGTGTGGAAGAAATTATTTTCCTAGCAAGTTTGTGAAATGTCATTTTCCTATTTGGATTAGGAACATCATCACGGTTGGAATAACTGCTCAAGCCATGAACTGCTAGTTGCACTTATAATGCCGATGCCTGGGCATTGCTTTCAGGAGTGGAAACCTTAAAAAAAAAAGATACTTCATTTTCTACCAAGTGGTCAATATACCTGTGAATAATGAGCACTGAAGCCAGTCTGAGACATTTCCATTTCAAATGAAGCTGCTGACTGGTCAGCTGTAGCTATAACAGAAACATAAATGCCTGTTAGCACACTGTTGATTTGGAGAAGACAGAGGCCAATTACAGTCTGGGCTCTTTACCAACCAGAATTTCCAACATCTTTTGAGTATGTTCAGCCGCACATTTCTCAACCCAAAATTCCTAGGTAGGGCTGGGTGAGGACAGAGAAGGTTAGCAGAAGGGCCATGTCTAAATTCTTGACTGATGGTTTCCCCACCCTTGCTGCAGAAGTTGAGAAATCTCCATTCACACTTCTGTTCTTACACTGTGGATGCCTGTGGATGATATGGCACTTTGGATCCAGGGGGTTAAAGTTGAAAGTACTGAGGTTGAAAATCTCTGTCTTCCCCTCACACCATGGGAATCCTGCTCAGACATTAGGCTAAACTTACCTGCTATGTTATGGGGCTGAAATAATTTTATTCACATATCTAAAGAGGTCTCTTGACTCTACCAGCCCCACCTGTATTTCCAGTTATAGATCCTCTCAGAATTCCATTATTTGATAAAGGGTGAGGGGTTCTGGGTTTGTATTTGCTCTAATTTCTGGTGGTAGGTATCACTCACAAATTGGGAGGAACTTTTTGACGGGCTCTAGGTCACATGCCATACAATCACATATTTTTTTAAGAATCTGTACCCATTTTTTGAAAGACTTAAATGTGAGACAGGAGTCCATCAAAATCCTAGAGGAAAACACAGGCAGCAACCTCTTCAACCTCAGCCGCAGCAACTTCTTCCTAGAAACATCGCCAAAGGCAAGGGAAGCAAGGGCAAAAATGAACTATTGGGACTTCATCAAGATAAAAAGCTTTTGCACAGCAAAGGAAACAGTCAACAAAACCAAAAGACAACCAACAGAATGGGAGAAGATATTTGCAAATGACATATCAGATAAGGGGCTAGTATCCAAAATTTATAAAGAACTTATCAAATTCAACACCCAAAGAACAAATAATCCAATCAAGAAATGGGCAGAAGACATGAACAGACATTTTTCCAAAGAAGACATCCAAATGGCCAACAGACACATGAAAAAGTGCTCAACATCGCCCGGCATCAGGGAAATACAAATCAAAACCTCAATGAGATGTCACCTCACACCAGTCAGAATGGCTAAAATTAACAAGTCAGGAAACAACAGATGTTGGCGAGGATGCAGAGAAAAGGGAAACCTCCTACACTCTTGGTGGGAATGCAAGCTGGTGCAGCCACTCTGGAAAACAGTATGGAGGTTCCTCAAAAAGTTGAAAATAGAGCTACCCTACGACCCAGCAATTGGACTACTGGGTATTTACCCCAAAGATACAAATGTAGTGATCCAAAGGGGTATGTGCACCCCAATGTTTATAGCAGCAATGTCCACAATAGCCAAACTATGGAAAGAGCCAAGATGTCCATCAACAGAGGAATGGATAAAGAAAATGTGGTATATATATATACAATGGAATATTGTGCAGCCATCAAAAAAACCCCAAATCTTGCCATTTGCAACGACATGGATGGAACCAGAGGGTATTATGCTAAGCGAAGTAAGTCACTCAGAGAAAGACATGTATCATATGATCTCACTGATATGAGGAATTCTTAATCTCAGGAAACAAACAGGGTTGCTGGAGTGTTGGGGGGTGGGAGGGAAGGGGTGGCTGGGTGATAGACATTGGGGAGGTTATGTGCTATGGTGAGCGCTGTGAATTGTGTAAGACTGTTGAATCATAGACCTGTACCTCCGAAACAAATAATACATTATATGTTAAAAAAAAAAAAAAGAAGATAGTAGGAAGGGAAAAATGAAGGGGGGAAATCGGAGGGAGAGACGAACCATGAGAGACTATGGACTCTGAGAAACAAACTGAGGGTTCTAGAGGGGAGGGGGGTGGGGGGATTGGTGGTGATAGCCCCGTGATGGGTATTAAAGAGGGCATGTACTGAATGGAGCACTACGTGTTAGACGCAAACAATGAATCATGGAACACTACATCAAAAACTAATGATGTAATGTATGGTGATTAACATAACATAATAAAATTAAATAAAAAAAAGAATCTGTACCCTTTTTTTAAGTCAATGGTCTGTAATGAGGTTCAGTAGCAAGCATCAGGTCTTTTTATCTTTCTAAGAGCTCCGTGAATCTGAAAATTTTTTAACGAGGATTTCTATGGGCAAGATTCTATACCCATTTTTAGGCTCTTTACTGAAATACAGAGATAATCCAGAGCATTCCATGGAAAATGTGCTACTCTCAAAATATTCACCAACCCAAAGCCACAACCTCCTAAGGGGATTGCGGGAATGTTGATTCATTTACTTTAAGTAGGGAGTTACTGATTTATCTGGTTTTGCAAATAAGTTAAAAATAGTGCATAATTTTAAGAGTCAGTCTGCCCTCTCATTGAGGCATGAGAATAATTAAACTTGTGAAATCACACTTATTTACTAGCTATTTGCTGTCATAAATTTGTTAACAAATACATCAGTGATTGCCTTTTTTTAGGACTAGTTTAAATGGGGATATCAATCAAGAATTCAAATGTATCATTTTAATTTCATGTATGAATTATCCTCTAATTTAAATGACTGAAGTACACTTTAAGTTTTTAAGTCCACAATGCTTTATGGTGTCTTTGTATTTATCTTTTCAAGGCCAACTGTAAGAGCGCAGCAGCAAAACCCTGCATATTTCCAGTACTTTCTCTTCCTGCTGTTCTGCTTACAGCGGAGAACAGAGAGAAGGGAGTTATGTGACATTCCACCTGCTGAACTGTCCTCATGGTAATAGCCCTTTGCACATCTCTGAATTTCTTGCTGTCAACTTCTCCCAGGACTCCTCATGAGTACTGAGATAACCACTCTCCCCACTGCTCGGCGTCTGGTTAGGAATTTCAGCATTTTCCCCAACATTTGCTGGGAAAGGGAGACAGACGGTTTTCTGATCTTTGATTGGGCAAGTTGGTGGCGTGTTCTCATCACTAGGTGGCGCTGTCCGTGGCAAACAGGAATTTCATAATCGCAGCTATTTACCATCTAAAGATAAATGTTGATAGGAAGTGGACACTTCTCAAGTAACAAGGAAATGAAGGCCTTTCTGCTGTCATTATGAAGAAAATCCTAAATAGGCTAGTCAAAACACTGCGTTTGGTTAGGCCTCAAAGTGTAGCAATAAATATGCGGGAGACATTTTAATCTGAGGACATTTAAAAAATAATTTTGCTTTTAAATATACAGACTTCTTATAGTTTCGGGGCATTCCAACGTGTAATCTTTAACTAATGGTGTAGACAGTTTAGAAGCAACAGAAAAATGTCATTTAAGGCAAACTGGGCTCCTTTTCCCACAACCACTGATACAGGCTTCATTCTACAAGTTTTGTAAGGTTATATTTATTTGCTTACTTAAGATGAGGTTTAAAATTGAAACTGTATTGTGCTTATCTAATGTAACTAAGTCATTTTCATTTAAATGGTCTTTACAGATTGTTTTATCATATCATAGATCACATTATTGACTTATCACATTATTAAAAATTAAAAGTACACAATGACTTGGAAAACTTTGTATATTTCCTTGAGGCCAGTGAAGCTTATGGTCTGGCCTATTAGTAAATGACACTGGGATAGCTACTGTGAGACCAAAGCCACTTAAAAGTGCCTTGCGTACAGAATGCAGGATAGCCAAGTTCTCTAGAAGCAGCTGCGACTTTAGATGGATAAGTAATTCAAGTGTTCTGTTTCTAAAGGCACAGGGTGGCTACGGCAAAAGGGAAGCAGAGAAATGAAGTCTGCATGGGCTGTAGCTGCTCATCAAATCTAAACCAAATCTGTCACTTAAGGGTCATGAAATCATCAGGGTGAGTCACCACCAGCATTTTTTTAATTGAAAGAGAAGAGAGAACGAAAATGAGAAACTATCAGAGTGCTTTATACATAATAAGAGTCATTTTGTGAAATTCTGTTTGATTTTTCTACATATTAGCATGTGCACTGGGTCATGCAGGAGTGGAAAAATTTTCCCTTCCTCCCTTCCAGGTTCCTTGGCTGGTTTAATAATTAACTTGACCTAAAACAGATTATCAGGAGAAAAACAAATTTAATTTCATATGGGACCCCCCGAAATATGAGACTGAAGGTCAAGTGGGGGCAATTGAAGCTTATATGCCATCCTGACCTAAGGATTGGGAGAGGAGCCAGGGGCTGCAAAGGGAGGAGGGCAGTTCAATGGACATAAGAAGAACAGATGTTTGGTAATTACAAGTTTGCCCTGCCATGCAGATAGGTCTTTCAGATTAAAAAGTTATCCTTGGTTATAGCTCTTTTTCTCGGCTGGGCCCCCTGTATAAATTCTTTTAGGTAGTTAAGGAAGAAGTTAAAGTTTTTCCTGAGTCTCCTGGGTCTTGATTGCCTTCAGCTCAAAATAATCTACATGCCAAAGTGACATATTTTGGGGTGGCCTATTTTATTCCCCTTTAGTGACCCATGATAATAAATATGCTATGCCTCGTGACTCTTTCCTTTCTATACATTTTAATATTCTGTCATTAGTCACTTTTTTTGCATTTTCCTGGTCATTTGATGCTCAAAGTGGTCTACTTTGCTTTATTTATGTCTTTCTCATTTTATCTTTCTGTTTCCCATTATCAGGTCATATCAGGGTGACTGAGAATGTGCTTTTAAATTTCTGTGTTTAAGACGCAAAACAACAGTCCTTCCGTGTGTCCTCACAAGGACAGGGTCCATTGGATTCGGATGAGGCATAAGAGTAGAACTCTCTGGAAAAAGGGAAAGAGGCATGCTTTCTTAAGCTCCAGTTATCAGAGAACATGAAGAAAGAGGCTTTTTTTCAGTTTTCCTGGCATAACAATTCCAAAGACTTATTATTATTTTTTTTTGTCAGGCAAAGGCTAGTTTCAAAGTAATTTGTTACTTGACATCTACCAAAGGCAGAGGAAGGAATGCCATGACTCATTATCTTCAGTAGCCAATCGTCATTGCAAAATCAGAGAAAAAAAATCTACAAAAAAGAATTATGACTTAGACAAATATAGTGAACCAATGTTTTACTGTCATGGGAGTTGAGACAGAGTTCCATAAAGACCTTTAAAGTGGGCAAGAAGCAAAACAGGAGAAAATAAATGAACAACGAAGTTATTGCAAACAAGAACAGTTCCATAGAAGCCCAAAATAACATAAACAAATTAAAAAGGAAAAGTTGAGCTAGTGTCTCCATTTTCTAAACCTGTGTCACAGAAAAGGACTAACACACGCAGGCACGTTTTTGTTCTGGTGAGTGTACACTGACCATTGCCTTCCTTCAACCCCCACATCCTTACAAAGAGAGCTGCCGACAGACACGGTGCTATGTGAGATAGCCATCTCAGGGAAAGATTTACATAAAAGGGCACTGTTCCATGCTGGCTATTGTACACAGTAAAAGTGCACGACCCATGTAGTAGTAGGAATAAATACCAAAACCCATTACATTGACTTTGCATTATAGACAGAACATACAGGATTACAAGAACTAGTCATACCTTCCAAGGCAAATATTCTTTCTCCCAGAGCTTCAACAATAGTGACTAGAGCCAATTCATCAGAGACGTTGAAGAAATGCTTTTCAGTGGGTTCACTTGCAATTGATTTTATTTCTTCCACAAATTTTTCAGTGCTTAAATTTCCTCTGTTATAGCTCCCAAGAATCTAAGACATGACAAAATGGCAAGAATATATTTTAAATTCTATGTGTTAAATAAGGATCCCAAGCATTTTGTCAATAAACAAGAGAGGTATATAGTATATTAATTCAATGCAATTTTTATGTACTTCCATATTCTTGGAAGAACAATCTTCAGTATATGTAGATTCCCTAATATTAACTGTTATATACTGTAATTGGTGTAGGAAAATATAAAGGGCAATCTTGTATGTTTGTGAGAGTTTCTTCTCTTGCATTCCTGTGTCCCTGTTTATGAACAGCTCTATCTTTAAAGTCTGACAGTTCAAAAGTAAGTTATAGTTTCTGAATGTCTCTGCTATTATTCCAGCCCATGCCACCCCCATTTGTTGGCAAAAATAATTAGCAAGTGAGTTACTTGATCTTGAATAGGCAGTTCTTCCTGATAATCTTACCAAGAGCCAGTCCCACATATATATTTTTTAAACAGATATTAAACTAAATAGTAATCTAACTTGGTAATCTAGAAAATAAACAATCGGGACCTTCCTGTTTGAAACCAAATGCTCAAGACAGGGACACCCCCTACCCACCCTTTTTTATAGAGTAGAGAGAGAGGCAGGAATTATCTGTTATAGTTCACCATAATTATTTAGATGTATTAGCAGGTTTTCTCAAACATCTATTTTATATTTTAAGGTAAGGTTTATTGAGATATAATTTATATACAGTAAAACTCACCCTTTCTAGGTATACAATTCTAAAGTTTTGACAACCCACACAGTTGTGTTACTACCACTTCAAGATGTAGACCATTTCTATCAGTGTTCCCTCTTGCCCCTTTGTAATCAATCCCTTCCTCCCCCTAACCCTTAAAACCACTGATGTATTTTCTGTCCTTAAGGCTTTGCTTTTTCCAGAATGTTATATTTATGAATTCATATAGCATGTAGCCTTTTGTGTCTGACTCCTTTCATTTGCATAATGCTTCTGACAGTCATTCATGTTGCCCCATGTATCAGAAGTTCAGTCTTTTTTTATTGCTAGTAGGATTCCATTGGATAGATGCACCCAAACTGGAAACAATCCAAATGTCCATGTAAAGTATGGAACAAATTGTGGTAGATGCATACAATGTATAATAAGAAAATGAATGACTGATGCACAATATATCATGGCCAATCATTATGTTGAGTGAAAAGTTAGACACAAAAGAGTATATACTATATGATTTCATTTACATAAAATAAAATAGGCAACTTAAGCTGTGGTGGTGTAAGTCACACCAGCAGTTACTACAGAAGTGAGTATTAAAAAAATGAAAGTATAGGGAACTTTCTGGGGGTGATGGAAATGTTCTATATCTTGATTGACGTATTGGTTACATGGGTGTATGCAATTATCTAAACTCATCAATTTGTTCACTTTGTACATAATTTTCACACTGAAATTTTGCATTTCACTGTATGTGAACTATGATGGCTTGTAATAATATGGATGAATCTTAGCAATATTAAATTTTAAAAGTTTCAAAATACTATATCCAGCATGACACCCTTTTTATAAAGTTAAATAAAAGGAAGACTTTTAGAATTTTTTAAGATACGTATAGCTACCAAGAGATTAGAAAAAGAGAGCAAGAGATGAGTATAGGATTTGGGCTGATGGTTATCAGGTAGAGGACTCCAGGTGGTGAATGTGGTCAGGCCCATAGATGCTTATACTGGATACTTAAAATATGTATACAGGTACAATAATAAACATAGAAACCTATAAAGTGGGCCATACTTGCACAAATGATGAGGTCTCCTAAACCAAGGATCATGATTAATTCAATTCTATGCTCCTGGAATCCAAAAAACAAAGGTAAGATTTTGAGCTCTGTGCTATTGCTTGATTTTTAGAATATCCTACTCCTTGAGGACAAGAAAAATCATGACCTCCAGTGACCATGAAGATACCAGAAATTTCTAGCTTCACTTTCCATTTCTAAATCATAGATATAGATTTGTCTAGCATCATTAAACTGAGACTCTAGGGTGCCTTCAAAGTCCCATTGCAACACAGACCTGCCATAGTCCCCAAATGCAGTTCAGCATTATGGACTGGGTGGATCCTGGACACATGGGTGGGCCGGCACAGGTGGAGGTGCCCAGCAGTCCTGGTCCTCATCCTCACTGGGTCTTCTGGCCACACACCCCTGCCTCTCCTTCTCTGAGCACCCATCTCGGGCCCATTCTCCTTCAGCTGCCTGTTCTAGGCATCTGCATGCATTTTTTAAATGTCAGATTCAAAATGGTAGATTTTAAAACTGATATTTTTATTAAGAAGGGTACAATTTTTACTTATAGTTAGAAAAAAGCTGAAATTACTGTTTTAGGTATTGCTATTTATGATCTACCATATACTTGTTCATTTGTATTATAAAATGTATGAGGGTTTAGATTAGTAACTGAATCATTAAAATGTACACTAAACGTTAATGTGAGCATACGAGTTGTATGCCAGCTAGTCAGGCAGGCAGCACAGATGGCAGCTTTGGAATTTTCCTTCCTAGTGTCAAGGTGCTGGGGGATTGATTCCTGTTCCTTCCCCTTGCTTGACTCACACCCACCCCATTCCCACAGAATATCTGGGAGGAGTCCCTAGCAATACCACCTATCTGCACACACAGGTCTTCATCAAGGCCCTTGTCTCTCGTTTAGCTCTGTGTCTACCTATAAAATGTGTTCATGAGGCACATGCCCTAATGTTTGTGAAGAACTTTGTGCTACTTTGAAAAAGTGAGCAATTTAGGAAATCGGCACACTATTTGGGTAGCTTTTTGATTTTTGAAACTAACTCTCTACTACTTGTCCAGATACCGGTAAGAAGGTCAATACCAGGAGTTTGCAGAATTGCACGAGAACACAAAAACTCAGATCCTGTCTACTTGGCTGAAAAGCAAATGTCAACCATCAGAAATGGTTTATATTTGAGCAGAGACCACTGGTGCTTTTCCCACTTTAGCTACTTGATGGTGGAAGAGAATTAATGGAAATGAATGTAGAGAATTGTCCAGATAAGGGAGGGAAAATCCAAGGGCCACTTGCTTTTATTGCCTTGAACAAATTCTCTCTTGTACTTAAAAACAATTAAGATGATCTTCTTATAGTTGAGTATTTCCCCACATCTAGATGGACATGCCCCAAAGAAAGCATGGAAAAGATGGGAGAGAGTCTCCAGCCTCCAGAGCCTCCATCACACCTGTGTGTCCGTTTCGGGATCACTGGGGTCTTGCTCCACACCTCACTCTATACCTGGTATTCTTCTCACACACTGTTAGGTTCCTTTTGGTCAGCAGTTTTGCTACGTATGGATTTCTTTTAGATTCATACAAATTCTACATCATGTGAGGCCCTCTGAGTCTCCACTATTTTACCTAATTTATCCTATAAGTTATATGATATCTTTGGATGGAAAGTCACCATCTTTCCCCCTTAGTCCCTATTGAACATATTCTAGATTCACTATTGCATTGACATGTTAACTTCCATTTCACTTATAAAGTGATGAATTTGAAAATACACATAAAAATTGTAAAGATGGGGCGCCTGGGTGGCTCAGTTGGTTAAGCGACTGCCTTCGGCTCAGGTCATGATCCTGGAGTCCCTGGATCGAGTCCCGCATCGGGCTTCCTGCTCGGCAGGGAGTCTGCTTCTCCCTCTGACCCTCCCCTCTCTCATGTGCTCTCTCTCATTCTCTCTCTCTCAAATAAATAAATAAAATCTTTAAAAAAAATTGTAAAGATGTTTGGACCATGCACGGTTGAGGTTCTTAGTTGTGATGTAAACGTTATCAGGTATTTAGTGCTCTATGTGACAGACAGAGACAATTGGATAAAGTTCAATGGGGAAAATGTCCAAGTGACATACATAAATAATAAAAATAAAACATAAATGGAACATGAGAGTATATATTTAGAAGAAAATATAAGAAGGAAAAATTTCCCAGGAAGTACTGTGACTTGTATCCAGTTTGAACTATTTTGTATTAAGGAATAAAAAATGAAAACAGAAATGTATTCTGATCCTTCACCCAAGGATTTGGTGTTTGTAGAAACATTATTTTCTATGAGTGAGAAGAAATACAAAATAACATTTATAAATTACTTCTGTTTCACTTTATACAAATATGTAAAGCCCAGGCATTTGGTATTCTGTTAATATTTACCTCAAGTAGACATCCAGAATTGAAGTTCCCTTGAGGCAGATGTGTCAAATGTAAAGTGTACAATTCATTTACATGTACTATAGTGCCTTTTGTGTGCAAATGAATGAAGTGCTAAGATACTTTCTAACTTCTCTTATTTTCATTTGAATGCTGTAAATGATACACATTTCACAGTCATTATAATCCCAGCCATTATCATCTAAGATTAGAATATGAATGTAAAACAGGCTCCTGCTGGCAATGTCTAGTATCCTCAAGCGACAGAGCACAGACCATGTAGAATACATACCAGTTTAGGACCCTCACCAAGTCTGAGAGTTTAATGGGCCATGTTTGCAGTTTTATCATAGAGTGCTTAAATTTTCAATAGTCAGTTAGTTTGGGGTATTGTCTTCCCCAAAACACATCTTTGCGGTGTTCAGGATCAAATGGTGAGTAAAAAAAAAAAATTGAGTAGGAGGAACAGCCCAGGTGGCAATAGGAGCAGACCCCCAGGTATATTTGATCCATGTGAAGCATGAATGGAGCTTCAGAAATGCCTAAAACCTTTCTGTGTGAATGCACAAGGAGAGGAAATAAAATAACTGTCTTATTTCCTAGTTCAGTGCAAACTAAAAAATACAAGTTTCACTGGGGAACAGAAATATGAATTGGGAAAATAACAATTCTTGCTGAAGTGAAATTTTCCTATACATTATTTATAAAAATTTGAAGAGCAATTTGACAATAATTCATTGATTAAAACAGGAAAGGAACTCATAATTTTATGATTCTCTAGGAAAATTAATGGAATTATGAGAACCCTTTTTGACCA